AGATCCTTTGCAACAATGTCTGGCACACAGGACATCTGAAAAATAGTTAAGTGCATGAAATTTTATGTATAAATTTTATATTCAATTATTTCTTTTCTTTTCTTGTTTTTATGGTCTTTTTGATATAAGGTCTCTCTGTAGCCCAGCTGGCCTGGAATTCCCTATGTAGGCCAAGTTGGCCTTGATCTCAGAGAAATTCACCTGCCTATGCCTCCCCAGCGCTGGGATTAAAGGTGTGAACCACTATGCCCAACTCAATTTTTTTTTTAAAAGAAACCATTTTTGTTTTGTAGCACAGCTTTTAAAACCCTGAAGCTAAGCACTGCTCTGGACCAAGACATACAAACTACTGCACATAGACTGTCTATAGTGGGCTCAGTAATGACTACCTTGTATCTCTCATGCAAAGGCAAGAATCAGAGGAATCAAAAGCTGGGAATGAAGAGAGTTTTCTCTCTTGAAACCCCTCCTCCTCACACACCCAGAAAATAAAAATTTTAAAGTGAAGGAAAACCATCAGGCCCTGATTATAAGTTATTCCTCTTCTGAGACCCAGTTTCTTCTGCAATACAAGTGTAAGCAACTTCAGTGGTTTTAAAACACTGTTAGGGTTTAAGACTCTAAATTCTACTTCTTTCACATCTATCCAGTACTTTTCCCTTGGGCATTTCTGTGAATCACGATAGTAATCAACTATTATTTTAAATGACATCAAAACACAAAGGGACTGATGGGAGAGGTATGAAGGGAGGGGAGGGGGAAGGAATATGTTCAACATACAATATGTACTTGTATGAAAATCTCATGTAACACAATACCAAGTACAATGAATATGCACAATAAGAAATTTTTAAAAGGCCAAAACAGCCGGGCATGGTAGCAGAGGCAGGCGGATCTCTGAGTTCAAGGGCAGCCTGGTCTCCATAGCAAATCCAGGCCAGCTAGGGCTACAGGGAGACCCTGTCTCAAAAAGACCAAAAACAAAAAAAAAGGCCAAAACATGTCATCCCAAAGTAATAACTAAAAAAACTTTTAATGATTTATTTTTTTAATATGTATGAGTGTTTGAGTGCATGTATGTATGTGCACCATGGCACCATGTCAGTGCCTAGTGCCCGTAAAGGCCAGAAGAGGGCACTGGATTTCCCTGGGACTGGAATTACAAACAGTTGTAAGCTACCATGTGGGTGCTGGGAACCAAATTTGGGCCCTTTGCAAGAGCAAGTGTTCTTTACTGAGCCATCTCTCTCGCCCCAAAGTAGTAATTCTTAAAAACGCTTAAATCACTACATTTTGGTTGTTTTTTTTGTTTGTCTGTGACAGTTTCATGCAGCCCAGGCTGGCCTTGAACTTGTTAGGTAGCCAACAATGACTTTGAACTTGGATCCTTCCACCTCCACCTCCCCAGTGCTAGGATTTTGGGTGTGGGAGACAACAGGTGTGTGCTACCATAGAGGGTTTTAATTGTAACTTTCAAAGCTCAGCTCCAAATACCATGAATAAAAATAAATTATCTTACTCTTTAAGTCTTACATGGAATTCAATTAATGAAAAATGCCATAAGGGGTTGGAGAGATGGGTCAGTGGGTAAGAGCACTGGCTGCTCTTGCAGAGGATATTGGTTTGGTTCCTAGAACCCACATGGCAGCTAACAACTGTTCCAGGGGATCCGACACCCTCTTCTGGCCTCGGTGTGCACTGCATGCATATGGTGCACTTACATGTAGGCAAAACACTCATACACATAAAATAAAAATAAATAAATAAATAAATTCAATGAATAATACATGCAAAAAGAATTTTAAGAGATTGGACCTGAGGTCAGAGCCTCAGATTTTGAAATGCACCAGAGAGACTAGATGATTGATCAGGGTTGCTGATTTAGGACCATCTAGGCACTGTGCAACAAAACACTCTCACAAAACAAAAATGAAGCTGACAAATACTTTTAGCTTAACTTAAAACTTTTTAAAGTCAGTGCCAAAAAATTCAACTAAAAAGTAACTTCAAGGTCTCTCGACTTCATACAAATGAAACTTCTACTTGGAAATCTTACACAAGAAGCCATTTCACCTCTGTTAATAATTCACTCTTTGATATACTTCAGTTATTCACACTGGCTGCCAGCTGAGGTGGGGCTGTGGACAAAGGCATCTACAAGCTAATGGGCTGTTGACTGAAAGTAATTGTCAGGAAATGTGAAGTGGTCCTATAGTCTTGATCCAAGGCTCAAACACACGTGCATGAATTCTACCATTTGGTGGGGGACAGTTAATGCCCTGTGGTTTACTAGTTTCCAACATTAAAGATGCTAAGATCTAACTAAAATTCTGTATTCCTGCTGTTTTGAAAAGCCACATGATCTGACAACACTCAGTTGGCTTCATCGGCTGGTAGCACCAGCTACAGCAGGTGATGCCTTTACAAAGGGCACCTGGTGTCCAATTTGCCTCAGGCCCAGCATTCCCTACTGCTTTACACCCAGCCTCTTCTGTCATTTATGTTGGCTGCTAGGCCCCTGCACACATCTGACTTGGAACTCTAACTTCCACTTCTGGCCAGGATGGTTATAAGATCTGGACTTACTCTCTGGTCATAATTACCAGGACTTGAGTCAGAACAGAGGAAAAAAAAGAACCTAGTCTCAGAGAAGGGAATAGTCAGCGTGTCTGTAAACCTCTAATAGAAGGGAAATAAGTGAAGTGAGCCCACACGACACCAGATTCTGGCTAAGAGACAGCATCTAAATTGTGCACAGGAAGAACTCAATCAGACACCCCTATACACAATAGCCCAGAGAAGACAATGCAATGACTGTCTGAGGTAAATGACTGAGGTAAAATGACTTTGGAGTTCCACAAACTATGAGCAAGGTGTGACTAGAAGGAAAAAGGTCTTTGCAGATATAGTAACTTAAAATATTACCAGCTTATGCAAAGTTTCCTCAGGAAGCTCCTGGAAAATGTCTCCTCCAAGATAAAATTTTAAAATCAGAACAAAAAGAAAGAAAAACGGCCTGGCCTGGAGATATAGTTCACTTGGTACCATTCTTGCCTATCATGCAAGAGGCCCAGGGTTGGATCCCTGGCATGGCATTATAACAGGTCATGGTGATGCCACTTGTCATCCTGCACTCAGGAGGTGGAAACAGGAGGTCAGAAGGCCAAGGTCATCTTCTGTGAGTTTTGAGGCAGGAGCACACAGGGTCCTAGAAGCAGGGCAGAAGGTGAAGAGAGTGCCTAGGATGGCAGCTGTGCAGGGTGCAGAGAGCTAGTAGTCTAGAATGGACCAGAAAGGAGGGTGTCCACAGCTGAAATTCTGACTAGCAGCACAGGAGTCACCGGGCCATGCCCAAATCCAGCAAGTGAGAACGAGCAGCAGCATTCATTCTCTAGAGTGCGGACAAACTCCAAAATGAACCATGAAAGAAGAAAATGACTGCTTGAGGTAGGGGTGATGCTGGAGTGATGCACTTGGAATACAACCTTTCAGCTGTTTCCCTACTTCCATTCGATGGGAGTACTTTCTGAATACAGTTGCAACTGACATGTAAACATGTAAAATACTCAAACAAGAATACCTATGGTCTAACCAGAGAGCTATGTCCCTGACTTGTTCATGCTGGGCCCACTAAACAACCTCCTTATAGCATTCAAGCTTGGAGCCGATGTCATTAGCCACCGCGGAGTCACTTTAATGGTGGCTTCTCTAATAATGGGGAGTGCATATACTATGTGAGTTGACAGGGAGACTGTTCACTGGTCACAGAGCTCTCTGTCTGAGGTCCCTAGAAGAAATGCATTAATGCTTCTCTTTCTGTGATTACTCAGTTTTTGGCTAACGGACTGTTTGTATTTTACATGCACTGTGAATTGTGAAATGGGACGGGTCTCGGCATTGAGAAAGTGGGTATCTCAGTTTGGAAGCCTGTTCATAGCTGGCTGGCAATAGGCCTTCCATACAATGCTTTTTTCTTTCTTCCCTTCTTCTCACTCTCACCCCCACCTTTGTTCATCTTTATGCTTTCAATCCCACTTTAAATTCATGTTTTACATCTCCTGGTTAGTTGCTATTTAAATCTTCCTGGAAAACTGCAAAGGGGATGACGGATGCATGGATGAAAAAGTGACAAAAATGTATGGAAAGATATGGAATGGACTGGTAACAGGTCCCTAGGAAGGGAGATACAGACATGGAGAGCGAATCTTAAGGGACTTTTATTTGCATTGTCTAAGGTTTTATAAGAACTCATTCTTTTTTTTTCTTTTTCTTTTTCTTTCTTTCTTTCTTTCTTTTTTTTTTTTTACTATGTATAATTAAAGCTTCTTGTTTACAGGGTCTCCACGTAGCCCCAGCTGGCCTGGAACTTGCTTATGTAGACAACGATGGCTTCAATCTCAGAGAGACCCACCTGCTTCTGCTGCCCAAATGTTGGGATTAAAGGTGTGTGTCACCACACCTGGTTTTTAAAGATCATGCTTAAGTATAACTCTACAACTCAAACAGACCTAAGGTAAGAAAAATAATACTGACTAAATGTTTATTATTTGCCAGTACCATCCCAAGTTCATTATATGCATTATTGTTCTTGTTAACCACATTGGTTACCATCATTATCCCTATTTGACAAAGGGGGAACTGAGGCACGGAGAGGTCAAATACCATCTCTAAGGTTTACAGAGCTGGTAAATGGTGAAGCAGGAACCTAGACTGGGTGAGCACTGAAAATCCAATCTGTTGGTTGATGTGCTGTGATTGAGGGATCAAAGTCATTCCTGAAATGCCAAGAACCACTCTAGATACTTCTACGTGCTCACACATCTGGTCTTTCCATTGACCCTACTAAAGGAACATTATTGTTACCCCAATTGGACAGATGAAAATCAAAAGTAAGTGGATACTCAAAGATCACATAGCTAACCAGTGGCCAAGGTTAGGTTTTTTTTGTTAAGGGAGAAAAATGAGGCTGAGGAGATAGCTCAGTCTGTAAAATGCCTGCCTTATAAACACAAAGACCTGAGTTCAATTCCCAGAATCCACATTGTACACCTACCATCCCAGTCCTGTGGAGAGGAGACAAGAGGGTCCCTGGGGCCCACTGGCTGGCCAGCCTAGCCTACTTGGCAAGTTCCAGGCTAATAAGAGGTGCTTAGCGTTCTCAAAAAACAATGTGGGAGGCATCCAAAGTTGTCCATTGGTTTCTATGCGTACACATGCATGTGCACTCCCCCACCTCTACACGTACCTATATACAGATATGTGCATGCACACAAAGAAACATTCACACCCAAGGAACAACACCCAAGATTGTCCTCTGTCCTCTATTTGCACACATACAAACATGCACATATGCAAAAAAAAAGTTGTTTTGAAATAGATTTTCATTATGTAGCCTAGGCTGGCCTTGAACTCATAAACCTCTTTTGCCTCCAAATTACCAGGATTACAGTTATGTGTCACCACATCCAAGTTGTAAAAACAGAATCTTGTGCACTAGAGGATTCATGTTCACCACAATCTACCAGCAATATTTTAAAATGATGAAAAAAAAAGCTTTTATTTTCAGGTTAAGTAATCTGTTTCTATCATGACTATGCCTTTTTTGAACTGTTTCCTTATATCAGCTTATTCAGACATAGTATTATTGCACACAAGAAAACTTGATATAACTTTTTTTCATACTTACCTGAACCACGCCCATGCAAGAATCCAGAAATATGGATCCTTTTGGTTCCTTGGAGATCTTTTCATCTTTATAAAAATTCAAATTATAGGATCCATCACCAAGTTGAATCAGGTGGAAAAATCGCCTCTTAAATGACTAAAAGAAAAATACAGCGTTCTTTAGAAATGAAAAGTCACAACCAATCACCCACCACTACATTGTAAAAATCATGTCAGTGTTCTTTAAAATCAATCAGATTCTACCCACAGGCCAGGGAACTGAACTGGCTGGAGATTCCCATCCCCGACCTGGAGTTCCCCATCACACCTAAAGGTCTCCCTGCATTTCTATCTTGAAGAGGCTCTTCAGTGAGCATCCATCAGTCATCATTTCTCATTCACAGAACTTAAGACTTTACATAACCACCCAAAGCAGCATGGGGGGAGTTCCGTGTTGGGATGCAATACAGGATGGAAATGTTCTCAAATCACCAGGGCCTCTAACTTACACAGAACAAAAGGGATCTTCTGCCTCATGACACCAAAGCCTTTCCAGCCTCAGGATCTGGCAGTCAGCACCTCCCTTGTTTAATTTTCGTCCTTCTTTTACTATTTCTCTTCATTACTTTTCCTGCTCTTCTCTCCTGCATAGCTTCTTAGACTACACTTACATTGTTCTTAGCAACCCCCTTTCCAATTTAAACATCTTCCTTTTGGGTCCTCAATTTGGGCTTTACTAGACTTTGTCATAGATACCTCCCCACAAGAGTGCTTAGGTTTAGTATGTCAGGCAGCCCCCCCTGGTGGGGTACCAAGATGCACTGTGCAGTCTAGATAGGGAAGGAAACCCAAGACAGGGGCTGGCACCTTCACATCAGCTCTGGAATGAGCTCTTTATGGCAGGTTTTTTTTGGGGGGGAGGTGCAAGAGCAAGCTGGCGGACAGACCTGTAGGAATAGTAGAGCTGTCATTAGGAAGAACAGCATACCCATTCATCTTGAGCGTACTGTCAAGACCCAGAATGGAAAGGGTTTGATGCAAGGAGAAAGGAGGGTGATAGGCCCCTTACCCTCATGGTGACGCTGATTGCGCTGTTCATGTTGCCTTTGTATAGCCAGCCATGTTTGGTGATTCCACCCTTCTGAGAACCAAGGGAAGCGGCATCCTACGAGCAAAGGAAATGTCACCACAATTGATCTCCCACCATTACCTATGTGATTTTTTTTTGTAAGCTTTGCCAATGAGAAAATCATTCCATTTGTGCCAAGTTGGCCAGTTAGCCCTTTATTTGAACACCAATGCCTGTAAGTCACACTAAAGGCCACTTACCAGTGAAAGAGAAATGAGCCTACATTTCTAGAAATCCTATTATATTCAAGGCAAATCTAATTCCAGTCCAAATTTTTAAGTGTTTAATGAGCCACAGAAAATACATACCACATGACCACACAGTTGTAAGGTTTCATGAAAAAAATGTTTTCAAATTACACTCCCCCATGGTTGGAGGACAAAGCCAAATTCTTGGAAAACTTCCCAGGTGCTTCCCCTTTCGGGGAAAGGTGAAAAAGAAAATAAGGAAATAGGAGGCAATACAGAAAGGAGCGAGAAAATGACAGGGTGAAGGAAAGAGGTGAGAGCAACAGGAACTTGGAGGATCTGGAGAAGTGAAGAAAAGTGCTTCAAGCTTGGCCCCTACCCAGTGAGATCTGGGTGTGGGGAGATGGGCACCGAGCTGCCTGTGGCCACTAAAAATGTATTAGGCATGTACTAGGCATGACCAAACTGAAACTCGTGTGTGTAACAAGAATAGTTCTGAAGTTGGTTCCACACAAAATTATAAAATTATATGTAAAACATACAGCTTGATTGATTGATTGGTTGGTTTGGGGGTGAATGTGCCATTCTCTAGTGTGGCCTTTGCAGATGATAACATTGTGTGGCAGTGTCAAAGGCTGGGCAGCCTGACAGACCATAAACAGACAGAACATTTGGGAACATTGCTGCCAAACTGCTAAGTCTTCTATAATCAAATAGCTTCAGAAAGACCCAGCTTAAGCTTTGTACTGAACCACTTCAATATCAATATTTGTGGTTTTATCACTGTTATTATTGGAACTAATAGAAATCATTTACCTGTCAAGGATTTCTGAAGCTGTTGGGCACATTTATGTGCACATGCTCACTTGGTCCTCCTGTTCTTATTAATCATCACCAAACTTTTTTTTTTTTTTTTTTTTTTTTTGAGACAGGGTTTCACTATGTAACCCTGGCCGGCCTGGAACTCTCTATGAGACAGGGTCTCACTATGTAGCCCAGACGGGCCTTGAACTCGGAGATCCACCTGCCCCCTTCTTGCAAGCACCGAGATTAAAAGCATGGGCCACCACACAAGGCAGCACCAGGCTTTCAACACCTTGCTCATTTTGGATAGCCACTAACTTTTTGTAGAATTCTTTACAAAGTGATTTCTAAAGCAAGTCACAATGTGAATATTAATCTCCACAAGAGGCTAGTATTGTACTCAGTAGATAACCAAATGAAAGGAAGATCAGCCTAAACCAACAATGGGCACCAATGCTTACAAGAAGGATGGATGAGAAATACAGAGCCGGTAGTCCTGGTTCTTTACTAGATTCCCTTGCTCGCCGGTTGTGGTGGTGCATGCCGGCTGGATATGCCGGAGATTCCCTTGCTCAGTAGACAAACTCACTCAATGCCCTACCCTCTTCACACACTTCTCTAGCCATCATCTTTTCTCTAAGAGTAAGGGAGCTTGTTAAAGTCAGACTTCACAAAAATTAATCATTGAAGAAATAGCCATTTTAATTCTACTGGCTGGCAGTGTAAGATATCCAGCTGAAAAACAATCTAAATTTAAGGTCTAAGTAATCTTGAAATCTTTTTTAACAATGTAGTCAAATCTGATCCAAGTCTTTGAAAACAATCTCAGAACAAATAAACACAACTCAAAGAACATGAGATGCGAAGCAGTCAAGTTGAAACAGGACCTTAAGTCAATCAATCCAGAAATACATCTAAAAAAAATTCTTCCTTTGCTTCACCAAACATTCCAATTCCTGTTTTGGCTAAAGGCTGGCACCTTTCTAATTAACTTGCAAAGCCTGTGAGATCAATGTTTAAAGGGGAAAGAGAAGCGAGAACAAACAAGAATCCTACCTCATCTTTGTCGGCCTCCTCATCAACTTCATAGACGTGAACTGGAAGTTTATCCAACTTGACCACTTTGCTTTTAAAAAAAAGAAAGAAACTTGTTTTATAATTGCAAAATCAATTTTTTAAAAAATCAATATTTCTTCCTCCAATGAAGGAACCAGCCTTTAATAATCCCATGGGGGGCCACTCAGACAAGAAATAAAAATCTATGTCACTGCTTTTCAAGTAGATGAGTCTAGAAGCTTGAGTCAGAAATCTCCATAAAACTGTGTGGAAAAGACAACATAGCATGCTGGGGATAACAGGTACATTAAATGTGGAAAGTGGCTATTAATGAAGACAGACTTGGAAGAACAACTATTACTACAATGTATGTGAGAGAAAATGGGATATGGGGTAATACAATTTCAAGTGATTAATGATGGATGGTATTAACAACTATAATATCAATGGCTGCTCTTACAAACGTTATGACGTGCTAGGGCATGCTGGGCACTTGACCCATGCTATCTCATTTAGATGGAGCTGTCATTAAGATTATTTAACAGGAGAGGAAACTGAGGCTGACAGGGGGCAACAACCCAGATGGGTGTTCCTAACCAATTACAACATTCTCTTTCTCATTACACGTTTGGAAAGTCTTACCAATGCTAAAAGGTAAAACCTACCAGCAGTTAAAGTTCATCTTTAGCAAGCATATTATACATGATAGTTTGCTATCTTTCAACCATGGGAATAGTTTGAGCAAAGCAATCAAGGAAGGGGGATAAATCTGATCAATGGGAAGCATTCCCAAATCCCAAAGTGATTGTTGGACACATATAGAACCAAAGAGCCTACCCATCTGGAGAAGATCATGTTAGAAGGGAGTGTTCTCGGCTGAGGTTTAGAAAGAGGCAATTGGGGAGTTGGCTGAACACTCTAAGGAGTGGCTGAGCCACACAAATAGGAAAAATAAACAGTGAGGTCCACTGAGAGTAGCATAGAAGATTCAAAACCTCGTAGGTGCAACAAACTCAATGAAGAATGTATTAATTCTGAGTAACTAGCAGTGGTGGTACTTACTTTCAAAACATAGCCTATCACTATCTGCTTTCATTTCTAATGACCAATTACACTTCCATTTGCCAAGCATGTTTCAGAATATGTTGTTTTATAATGACCTCCTAAGGCAAGCCCTCCCTACCCTTCATTCACTTTCTGAATCTATCTGAACATATACTGTAAGTCTGGTTAATGCATCAAAGGAGATAAGGATTTTATCTGGGAAAATATTTATTCCACGATTTACTTTTTCAAAACAAAATGTATTCGATATAGATACTCTTTATAAGTTTCTTTTCCAAAATATTCTTTTTAATTAAAAACACATGGAGCATTATTCACAATAGCTAAGTTGGAGTCAACCTAAGTGTCTGTCAACAGGGGAATGGATACACACAATGATTTTCTAGCCATAGAAATATGAAGTTATGTTACTGCAGGAAAATGAACGCAACTGGAAATAATTATATTAAAGAAATGAGGTCAGCCTCAGAAAGACAAATATGTTTTCTCTCATATGTAGATACTAAATTTTATATAGACACATGAAATCATGTATGCATTATGACATCAAAGTAAAAGAGACCCCATCAAGGGGGATGTAAGGGGCAAACGGGAATGGGGAGAATACGCTCAAAGCATGTTATATACGTGTATGAAAAAGTGATTATGAAGCCCAGTACCATGTGTAGTGAGTAGATACCAATAACAATGAAGAAGTGATCAGATTAATAACAAAAAACTCACACTGCATCATTTTTCAGTGTATTTGCATACCTCTTACATTTCTTGGTTAAAAACTGTCTGGTTCTCTGAATAGAATTCCAGTGCATCATCAAATCACCCACGAATTCTTATGGCCGCTTTCTAACACCAGAGTATTATGCCTGAGTCTGACATCAAAGGTCCTGTGTACAGCAACTACATCATAGACACAGACCCACTGGAAGTACTTTCTGACTACAGATGAAGGTGCATACCTTCCTAAGCATGCACATACACACCCCACGTGGCCGACGGCATTTGGGATGGTCTGTAAGTTTACTTACTTTGGAAGCTGTCGAAACTCTCCTGAGTAATCTTCATATTTATAGGTCACAAGATGCCAGTCAGAGTTGTAGGTTTTGATGCACTATTGGGGGGAATTTAAAAAACAGAAACAGAAAAATAGAAAGATGATGACTGCAAGAGAACACTAGGGAAGGTTTGGGGAGGCATGTCCTTAAGACGCTTTTTCAAAAATTTCCACCATCAACATCTAATGTCTAATTTCTACCTTCAGAGCCTCCTAATGAAACTCAAGACTTCAACACTGAAATGTGACTCTTGGGAGAGGCATCGCTTTATTGTCATCATTATCATCATCATCATCCTTATTTTGAGACAGGGTATCCCTACAGCCCCAGCTGGAACTCACTATGTAGACCACCATGCTAGCCTCAGATTCACAGAGATCCACCTGCCTCTGCCTCCCAGGTGCTGGAATTAAAGGTGTGCACCACCACGCTCAGCTGTCTGTTATCATTATTGATGAAAACCAAAAATATGGGGATTGTGGAGCTTATTTACTTCTTGTCACTGCCCTTAGGAGTACAGAGAACCTTCAATTGACATGTGGGTATCAGATATACACAGAGCTCAGAAATGGAGGCTGAGTACTTTTTGAGGGGCTGGAGAGATAGCTCAGTGGTTAAGAGCACTGGCTGCTCTTGCAGAGGACCCAGGTTCAGTTTCAGCACCTACATGGTACACAACCTTCTGTAACTCTAGTTCCAGGGGATTGAACCCACGTGTGCCCTCTTCTGGCCTCCACAGGCACCAGGTAGGTATGTGGTGCGCATACATGTTTACAGACAAAACACTCATACACATAAAATAAATCTTTAAAACAATAAAGAACTTAACTGGAGTTATCTCTCAAAAACTGTCATTTTATAAATGAGTTGTGAGAACTGGGTGATAATTTTGCTACATGCTTTAAGACAGAAGTCAGGAACTTTCTTTGGAAGGCCAGCTGGCCATAGTATCATCAGCTTTTTTTCCTTCACATTATGTCTACTGCAAGTGAGTTTCTTGTACCATGACTGCAGCCATAGGCAATATGTAAACAGATGGGCAGGGCTGTGTTATAATAAAACCTCATTCACAAAAATAGGCTGTGAGCCAGATTTTGTCTGCAGTCATAGTTTGCTACCTCCTGACTTTCAAGAAACACATATACCTACACAAGCATACCCGTGTATGTCTGGAACTAACTGTGCTAATGGAGCAGCGAAGGAAATAAGGTAGGAAGCCACCTTTCCAGAGTGACAGATATTTTTTCAAAATTTTTATACACATACTTTTCAAAAATCTTAAGGGAAACTAAATATTGTTATTTAATTCATCTTTCCTTAAAAAGCACAGTTTATTTGCAATTTTATTAATGGTCATGTATCTCATATAAATATCCACTAGAAAAATTGAACACAAACTCATTTTTTAAAATATACAACATTTTTATTTTGTGTGTGTATCTGTGCACATGGCATGGCACATGTATGAAGGTCAAAAGAAAACTTGTGGGACTTGCTTCTCTCCTTCTACTGTCTGGGTCCCAGGGATAAAACTCAGCAAGTCAGGCATAATGGCCAAGTGTCTTTACCTGCTGAGTCATCTTGACATCCCCTCACATTAATTATTTTTAAGGATTTATTTTTATTTATGTGTATGAGTGTTTTGTCTGCAGGCATGTATGTTCACCACATGTGTGCAATGCCTACAGATTCCAGAAGAGGGCACCAGATACCCCTGAAACTGGGGTTACAGATAGTTGTGAGCCACCATGTGTGTGCTGGGAACCAAACCCAGGTCCAGTGCTCTTACCCAGAGCCATCGCTCTAGTTCCATCCCCAAACTTTTTAAAGAAAGGAACACTTCAAAACACAAAATACAGCAACTAATTAGTTTGTTCTACCTAAAAATAGCTGGAGGGAGAAACAAAGATCCCAAGAGGAATACAAAGCAAGCAATCTAATTTGTAATATTTCTTTTCCTCAGGTTATTAGTTGTGTGTTCAAACATGAATATGACTATCACCACACATTGGTTAGGGATAGTCAAGCTTGGTTCATTATTGACTGGAATTGTCTGGGCATCACATTATCTTGCAAGTGACTTGCAAATATAAACATACCAGTGAAGTAAATGAATGTATATATTGTTAGTTGACCATTAAAAACTGTATTAATGGCAGAGCTTCCAACAGAGAACTCCAGGGGATTCATTTGTAAGTTACTCATTATTCCATGTCCACAAGATAAAGTCTACAGAAATAATTATTTCTGAATCATGAATTAACCCTGGGGCTATTTCTGTCCATTCAACACTGAAATTTTCATGTATTCTATTTTAATTCCCATAATAAAAATGTAATTACTTCTTTGACACTGTTCAGAAGGGAATGAAATTTAAAGGAAGGGTATGGTTGAGGAAAATGACTTTATAATGTATACTAATTCAGAAAGAAACCTTACCTCTGTAACAAATAAGCTCTCTGCCTCCTCCTCAGCGTTCACAGGAACTGTGGAGCGTATGTACCGGCCCTGCCTCCTCACGATGGCCGTCTGGGAACAAAACAGAAGGAAAAGACCCGCTGAAGAGGGAAGGCCAGGTCTCAAAGTATAGCAAAAGACCCTGCAACATGGTCAATGTCTATACTGGCTTCCAATTTCTACCAGCCAGTGAGGACAGCTGCCTGTTAGGTCATTCACAACAGATTCCTTTTGGCATCCTGAAGTTCCAAAGCCAGGTTACATAACAGTTTACGTTGCCTTCTGCATCAGGGGCCAATGTTACCCTAAGGGCAGGACCAAGGTTTCTGTCACAGTCTCTAACCACCCCCACCCCAACTGCTTGAGCTAGTACCACTATATAGTTATTAACTTGCCTTAACTGCCTTTTTAAAAAATCCTAGCAAAATATACATAGCATAAGCTTATCACTTACAACATTTTTAAATGGACAGTCATGTGACATTAAGCACAGTTGTTCAATTGCCAGTAGGACTCACATCTTCATCAATACATCCATTTTTTTTCACTTCCACATTCCCCATGTCTAAAAACATGGAAAACTTCCCTAACAAGTCCTCAATGACTAATTGTTAAATGCACCTACGGACTGAGGAGGCTACTTCTGGCCTCTGAACATTAGAACTCTTGCTTCAGTAGATTTCAGTGCTTGCTAAATTTGTGTTTTCATTTTCTTAGCACCTATTCATTGTACAAAATAATGACTTTCATTGTGACATTTTGTATACACATATAATATACTGTGCCTATTCAGGACATGCCCCATTACTCTCTCTTGCCCTTCCTCCAGCTGGCCCTTCTTCTTCCCAGACAGTCGTTCTCCCCTCCCACCCCCTCCACCTCCTGGTACTTCATGTCCCATTTTTCAAAACCTAGATTCTGCATATGAGCAAAAACACATGATAGTTATCTTTCTGAATCTGGCTTATTTCTCTTACTATGACACTCCATCTTCCTGCAAATTACTTAATTTTGTTCTCCTTCTGGCTGCATTGTGAATTATACCACATTTCTTTATCCATTTATCTGTATTTGCCTAGGCTGATTCTATAAGTGCTACTGTAAACAGTGCTGTAACAAACATGGATATACAGGTATCTCTGTACTATGTTGACTTAAATTCCTTTATGGATAAGTTCAGGAGGATAGCAATTGGATCATATGGGTAGTTCTATTTTAAGATTCTTGAGGAACCATCATATCGATGTCCATGGTGGCTGTCCTAATTTACAGTTCCACCAACAGTGTATAATGGTTCCTTTATCCCTAGAATCCTCAACAACATTTATTGTTGTTGTTTTTCTTAATGATAGTCATTTTGACTGTGGTGAGATAGAGTCTCAATGTAACTTTTCTTTGTATTTCCCTGATGACTGAGTACATTGAACATTATTTTCATGTATTAATTGGCCATCTGTACTTCTTCTTTTGAGAACTATCCAATTTATTTGTTCACTAATTAATTGGGTTATTTTGTATGCTTAATTCTTTGCTTTGTGTTTTGAGACAGGGTCTCTCTGTAGCCCCAGCTGGCCTGCAACTCACTATGTAGACCAGGCTGGCCTTATCTCACAGAGCTCTGCCTACCTCTGCCTAGAGCTGGTGAAGATTTTTCTCCCATACTGCAGGCTGGCTCTTTATTAACTATTTCCTTTGCTGTATTTAAGCCTTTTAATTTCATGCAATCCCATTTGTCAATTGTTGTCATTGTTTTCTGGACTATTAAAGTCCTATTCAGAAAGTCCTTACCTATACCTAGCAGTTTCAAAGTTTCAGTTCTCATAATGGGCTGTGTTTTCGGTGTTGTATCTGCTTTTCTTCTCTTTCCTTGCACTCTGTCAAACTTTGTGAGGGTCCTTAATTCCCATTTTCAAAACATGGCTCCCATACTTTATAGAAAGGAGAGGATGCAACTCTAGCTCTGACCAAAGTCCTTTACAAGTGAATTACTCATTTGTTCAGCCTCCAGGGAAGCTTTTAATACTCTGGGTCTTGTTTTCTTAGTAAATACTTCAGATGAGTGGTGACCTTTATTATACACCTGTTCTAAGAGTTCTATAAACATGGAAAAGGGACACACTCTGTTCACACAGTCACAATGAAATATGATTATAGAGACTGTCAAATGTGTTATGAGTCAGGCATGACTGACAAAAGGGAATTGCTTATGAAATTCTGTGTATCTCAAAGAGATATAAATTCTATATCCCCAACTCACTGAATCCTTAGCCTGACTTACCTTGGCCTTTCAAGCTTTTTGAAACTAATTATACATTTAAAACATTTATGAACTGACTCATCTGAAGAAATGGAACTATGATTAGGGTGATTTACAACCCATTTCTCACTGCAGCACTAGGAAGAAAGAAAATCTGTTGCAAAAATTCTCAGCAGAATCCAATTCAAGAACATACAATTATGAAATATTATTTTCCAAACACCCCTCTAAGGGGAGAAAAAATGAGTCAATAGGGCTTTATTTTCCTTGATCAAAGTGTCATATTTTCATTTGAAAATGAAAAAGAATAAGTTACTTAAGAGACACTTAAAGCCAGGCATGGTTGCTCATACCTATAATCTCAGCACTCTGGAAGGCTGAGGCAGGAGGATGGCTGTGAGCTCAAGGGCAGCCTGGGAGACATAGCAGGGCACTATCAGAGAGAGAGAGAGAGACTGAGTGAGGGAACAAGAGGAGGGAAGGGAGAGAGGAAATGGATGGGGAGGGAGGGTCAATTTAAAATTAGGTTTACACATCAATCATAAGTGATCAATTCCTAATTCTAATTTTGACCAATTAGTTTTTGCCCAGATGGAGTCTGTTTCCCCCCACTAGAAACTTCATTCAAAAATAAATAAATTGTATGTGCTTCTTTGGCCGCTAGGAGCCATCACTGGAGGTGGGTCCTACAGCTGTGCTGCTCTCATACCAAAACAGACCAAAAGCTGGTCTGTTTCTTCTTCCCTTGAATAAGGCTGGCTGGGACTAATGAAATGAAGTAGACAAGACATTGTGTCAGTTCCAAACCCAGCTTTTCTTAGGTTGATAAGTACTCCGTCTAGAAGAACATTCAGGGAAGAGCACAGAAGCCCAGGATGACAAAAGAGGAAAGAACTAAATCCAACAAGAGGAGAGGGTATAAAGAAAAATCTATCGAGGGACAGATGCTCCAAACTGTAGATGAGCACAAGTTGTGTTCAGAACAAAGAGGAGAGAAACTTGAAGATAAGCTTACCCTTGTGCTATTAACAGAGCAAAATCAAGGCATAATATATGAGGTTAGCTATGCTTTAAAAAATTAAGGCTAGGTAGAAAATGTAGTTCAGTTGGTGGAGTACTTGCCTAGCATGCACAATGCCCTGAGTTTGAGGCTCTGCACTGCATAAACTGGGCATGGTGGCTCACACCTATAATCTCAGGACTTGGAAGGTAGAGGCAGTAGGATCATGGGTTCAAGGTAAAGCCTCCACTACACAGCAAATTCAAGACTAGCCTGGGATATATGAAACTCTGCCTAAAAAATAAAAATGTAAGGCCTACAATTAAACATATTTTCAATATCACTGTCTATAACTCCAATTGACTTTTAATTAAACAACATTACAAACCTATCACCCTAGTCAGTGGGGGTAGGGGTGAGAGAGTAATCAGGCCACAGAAAGAATAGGGCTTGCATAGCTGGAACAGTTTCTCTATCATATCATTACTTAAAAATAAAGGCTGGGACAGATCAAGCTAGATCTCCTGGAGGTCTGGTGAACTTGGAACCAATGGGACAGTCACCATTGATGCCACCAGCTGTCAAGTCTTCCTGCCTTTACTCTTAGTCCAGCCTAAACTTGTTTATAATATGCATTCTGTTTAGACTTTCCTATTGGGAGAAGATGCACAGCCAACAAATGTATTCTGATCAAATTTTTATGATAATGCTCAATGTACTTTTAATAAAATGGTATTGTGGTTCTCCTGTGAAGTTGGCAGGTGTAAATCAGTTCACCTGAGTCTGACTAATTCTGATCACATTGACCAAATATCTAGTCTGCAGACTTGAAAAGCTGATATCTGACACTGTAATGTGGTGACCTTAAAACCACATCCCTGAGATGTATTCAAACAGCCAATTCCATTACCTAGCACTCTCCTGCAGGCACACACCTTTTCCTCTTCCAGATTTTGAGGTCCTTTGAGGCCAGGAGACATCTCTTTCTATATGTATCTCTGTGCTAAGTACTTGATAAATGTTTCAAGAATGAATGAATAAAACAGTCAATGGAAGGAGAAAAAGGAAACTACCAATAACCATCCATTACCTGCATATATCACTTTCCTATTAAGACAAACGCTCTCTGATCCATTATAGAAACTGACAAGGGAAGTCTATAGCATAAAAAATGTTCTATTTTAACCTCTATAGATTTTATGCATTAAAAGTCACATTCAGACAATCATCTATGCCAAACCAATTAACATTAAATTTCTATAGTTTTATTTATCAGGCTTAAAAAGAGTCCAAGTCAATACCCTGAAAGTTGAACTCAGTAACACAAGCTCCCCTCTCAGCAATGAGCTAAGCTTCCTTACTAATGCTATAGTATTCTTTTTGGGATTTTGTCAAAAAAGATTCTTACCATATAGCTGAAGCTGGCCTGCAATTCACAATGTGCCCAGGGTAACCCCTAACTCATGGTCTTCTTGCCTAGGACTCCCAAGTGCTGGGACAGAAGGTGCGTGCCACCATGCCTAGCTGGTGGTATTCTATCAGTTAAAATTATTCCTGCTAAAAGATGGCTCTGCATCCTCTTTCTACAAATCAACATCAAGATGATCATTCGAAGAATATAAGTCCCACTTTCTTTTTAATGAGTTTCCTACTTGCTTTGTGATAATGTATATATTTCTTAATCTCTCTTGGTTAATTTTCCTTATCTGTAGCACAGGGACAATCACTACCCTTTCTTTCTCTGTAGAGGTTAAAGGGAATGCCTCATATTGAAAACCAATGAAACTAATTTAACAGTTACTTTCCTTATAAGGA